TGTGTCATGTCATCCATCATACGTGGGCCATAATCGTTCTAGAGATTTCCATGTTATGATACGTGAAATATTTTTTTGTTCTGGCCATAGAAACCGGTTAGCAGAAAATACTCCGGGCATTTGAATCCTACACTGCAATCTACTCTTTATTAAATCTTCGACTGCCAAGGGATGCGCGCCAACCCATACACAACTCCTGTAAAATGCTATGCACTCAACTGAATATTAATTGCTGAGAAGTCTCCCAAATCTTCCAACAAAACTGAATTGCCAAGATGTTGGTGAGGATCTGCGGTGCGCTCAGCGTAGCGCAGAGCCCTCTCGATTGCAGACTTCGCCCAGTGTTTGTTCCGATGCTCGTTTCCGCTTGTTTGGGCGGGTTTGTCCGATCCGTTCCGCGTGTTTCTTTGCGCGATTTAAGCTGTTCGCGCGCGAATGCACAGTTACCCTAAGGCTTTTCCCTGAATGTGAAACCCCAGTTCGGGTGAGGAGGCACTCATTGTGCCTTCCTTTCCTGAGAAAGGGTAGAGTTCTCATCGAAAATAACCAATTCTATATAATAATTCGATAGGGGCCGGAGTGCAAGAAAAGTACGCTAGATCTGCAGAACCAGTCCAGAACCAATAGTTCTGAACTAGGTAAGGATACGCCTTCCTACCGAAGGGTGTAAAACCCAGTGCCGATACATATCAAAATTGCCTAGGATGTAAGCAGATGTGGCGTTAGCAAAGCCGTACACCCGCTCCTACAAAAAAAAGCGCTGAAACGACAGTCGTATCTTAACATCTCTATCCATAGGGTTACAGTGAAAAGAGGCTCTCTACCACTAGGAAAAGACATTGGGAAGCCCCTCCCCGAACGAGTTCACCTCTCTGACATTGCAGCCTTGAATAATCGTCAAATTTGCTCTCATTTTCGATTTCAGGCGGAGGACGCATGCCGGTGGGCAGCGGATCTTCACGTTCCGGGCGACTTGCCCGGATCAGCCAGAGCAACATACGACCGTTCGGCTCAGGAGGCGCCGGAGGAGGATTTGGACCAGGTGAGTTATTGTTGTACTTATGGTAACAGTGTGATGTGCCAGATCCTAAGTTGGGAGCCTCACACTACTTTTAGTCAGGCTGTTTATTGGGAGCTATGGTTTGCAAGTGAGAGAGAGAGTCTTGTGAATGGAAAAATGGCAATAATTAAAATGCGATCTCATTAGTGAATAAATGGAAAAGCGTTCAGTCCAAGAGCGAGAAAGGGTAGGAACGACTCTGGAGGTCTCTGCCTAGCAGTTCGGAAACTGTGTTGGTAGCAGGTCGAGCGGAAGATAAGTGTTTTCGTTAGACATGTTTCACAATGTGTGGGCTCTTGAGATTGAGAGTACACCCTGTAGAAAGTGAGTACTGCTCAGTCTCAACTTTCGTACCTCGTTGGCGGTGCTCTTTTTACTGAGTCTATTCTGATCCCAGAATTATTTGACAGGTTCTCAGAAAAATAACAAAAGCGCTCTTTCTGCCTCGTCCTGGTGTTTTTCGAATGGGCCACCGACCGACCTCAGCGGCGATGGCGACAAGCGTGGCTGCTCATGAATGTGAAATTCTGCTAATTCACCTGACTCCTGCCTTCAATGGCTAACGTCAAAACAATAAACCACCCACCTCGCGCTAGTATTGCGTTCGCGGCATCGGCCCCGTCCGGAACTACTCCATAACCCCCATTTGGTCTGCAAGACACTCGTAACTTTGCCTTTCTTTCCATGCAATTACCCCAAGTGTTCCATGAATAGGCAGCTATTGACTGCCTCTCAAAAGCTACACTTCTTACACTCCTCGTATTTCGTCTTTGTGCACAAGTGATGAGTTATAATTTGTAACACATGCTAATATTTCCCTTCCCCTTTTGATAATTTTTTTCTTTTTTTTTTCATTTTTCTTCACTGACGCTTCAAATTCAGAAGTTAGCATTAAGGAAGTGAGTCGAGAAGGAGTAATTCACCTAGTTAGAAGAACCACGGACCTCCTGAGGGTGCGAACTGATGCGCAATTCGCATCGAAAAATTTGACCTCGGCGACCTATTATGCCTCAAAGTTGGCGGGTCCGGCGATCTCCGCCCACCGATCATCTGATCACTCGCCGCAGTTCTATACGTGGCGAGTGATTAGATAGCTGAGAGAGCGTAGTGTTGAAGAGGGCACAGCGATGAGAGTCGCATCAATGCTCAAATCAACGGGCAAGGAAGGGGTCCCATTTCTCGGGTTCTGGGCCGTTTCTCATGGTTCTTCCTTCTTTGTGTACCACTCACCATCCCTAGGTTAATTTGAAATGGGTTGCCTTTCATCGTGAATTCGTCCTTTAAAAGTATCTGTATTAGAGCAAGGAACAGACTGCTTCTAAATTCTTTTGCCCAGCGGGCTTGCTTTCTCAATCGGAAAGGTTATTGTTCAGGAGGGGGTCTATGCAAAGACGGCGAGAGCTGGGCGAAGACGAAATTCGTTTTTTCCCCTTTCAGAGAAAATTTGGAACCAATTAGCCGTTCCTCTAGAAATCCCCCCCCCTTCGTCTCCCCCGGATGCTTACCATGGGCCAAATCGAATATTTCAATCTACAGCTCTATGTAATACCGTAAGGCATCAAATGGGAAATAAATCCAGTGAGCTAAATCTGCAAAAACTCATTCACTTTCTATGCACATCTCAGATCCCCCGTTTTTGTGGCACATTTCGAGAGCCTTTGAACTCACGCTTGTTTCTACGGAAGATCAAAAGTGCGGGATCATCACAGTCATCGTTAAAGCTTCGTGACATGTCCAAGTATGACCCTCGTGAGGCGAACAGCTGATGTTGTTTACTTACTCAAGATTCACCTGGGAAACTGTATCATTAGAATTTAGACATATGGAGCTGTGTTCGAAATTGAGTTGTCAGTCGCGATTTCAATTTTGTCAGTTTTGCCTTTTAAGCGTGTTTTCTTCAAGCGCGTGCCGTCGCTGAACTCCACAAAAGCGTTCTCCTTGTTCTTTTCTCATCGGAAACCCGCAGCTAATCCCTCAAAAATCAAAAAGGCAATGGCAGAACGCTTTTCCTTATGGACGACAGCGCCCGCAGCAGTAATTGTTTCTGGATTTCCGGTCCAGACTAGCTTCAGTTGCGCGTCACTGTGTCCTTCTAGTGAAGCTCTCGTATCTTTCTAGCCAGGCCATTACCCTTTCCTTCTTCGCCTTTTCGCGTTCGATCGTCAACAAAGCTGTACCCCAGAAGGGAATAGCCACGTTCCCTAACCAGTCATAATTACGCCTTGCAAAATTACGATCTAATATATCCGACAGTTTTTCGAAATTATTGCTTGTGCCCGCCTCCTGACCCAAACGAACCGAATACCTACTGCCGGGCAGCACCTTTCGATGTCACAATCACCAACCGAAGAGGCGCAGTCATCGGTCAGTCATTTAAATGTTTGGACTTCTCACTCCAGATCGATCCCGTATAACGGCTCGATCGAATGCGCATAGTCTTTCCATCTGCTCTCAGCGGCTATTAATTGCTAAGCTCTGCAGACGATCTTGCTGCGAGCAGAGCAGTCTGCGTGCGTGATGTTGTGTACATGAGAGGCTACGAGTCCCGAACTCTCCCATCACCGATTGTGCTGGCACTCGCAATCGACCCTCATCGCTATCTCATCATTTTGCGCTTACAACCAACGCTGAGATATAGCATAAAGTGATTAAGAGCCTTTACCCGTGATCAATCCCTTTTTGGGATGCGGCACGCATTCTACTTCCATTTGTACATTCGCAGTGGCATTTGAATGCGATGTGGCCTATACAATGACTTGCGGGGGCCAGCCGATGTTCAAGTCAGTGTTTTTTTATCCTCCCAGACAAGTCTGGTACCAATTAACCGACCCCGGAGGGGGAAGGCTTGGCCCGGGCGACTCACGACCCAGGATTTGATCCCCGGAGCGCTCGCGTGGTGAGCGTGCCACTTGCCGCGACCAATTTACACAATGCATGTAAATGTGGAAATAAGGATTAATGGGCTGCAAAAATTCAATGTTAAGAAACTGGTTTGAGCGACTAGTGAACTGCAGACGAGCATTTCACGTTAGTCTAGACGAATATAGCTAATGAGGCCCCTTAAAACTTAAGTTTTCCTTTTCACCAAAATTGTTACCGTCTGCGTGATCAAGAGCTCCTAATTGCAGAAGAACTACGGATCTATTCCGAGAGGTGCTCAGGGGTTCGCGTTGTAAGCTATATCGTCGCCTGCAATAAGGATCAGGAGGCCATGCAGTCCAGCCTCTTTAGACGACCCCGCGTAGTTTTTTAGCAGTACCATGTTTTTGGCCCATTCGTGAATAATGTCAAGCCACACGGTCGGCTGACACCAGACAATCGCTCGGACTACGGCATTTTTTGAAATTCTGCAGGGTTTCAAATGGAATTTGGAAAGTTTTCTTCCATGAAAAGAATCTTCATACCCTCGCTCATCTACGCCAGCCCTGGGCAGAGGAAATCTCCCTCCACTCGAATTTTATTGAAGAAAAATCTCCTGACTCTGCTGCTATTGCGCAATCCTGCGCGGTCGCGAATGGGTTAAAGTACAAACGAGTTGAGTTGAATTCGGTATAATAAGTATCCCTCTTTTGCCTCGGACCGCTGAGCAACGTTGCCATTTATTGAGTCAACTCCTAGCCTAACTTGCGATTTTCTTCCCACTATCATAACATATCAGCGTTTAGCTGGTCGTGAGCATGAGATTCACTTACGGGCCACAAGGTGTCAATAGCCTGGTTAATGCGAGGCGCCTTAGCTTTTTGTAACGCTGCTTACTTTCTGCTGTCGTAATCAATCTGAGACTTAAAGATTTCTTCAGCCTGTCAAGGCTCCGTCTTGAATCCCTTGTAGGCGTCGTTTCATGGTAATGTCTATGTTAGGATGACTTAAATATGTCATCGCAAAGGGGATAAGGCGCGGTTCTGAGAAAAGAGTGAATCTATTTGTGGCAAATGTCGAAATGAGAAGAGGTGAGCGATTGTGCAACAGGAGCGGATGGAGGAAACGCCCTGATCAAAAAAGTGAGCAAAAGCAGCTGAGCTCAGCGAAAGAGGAAACAAAAATAAAGTATGGCGGAAGGGAAAAGAGCAACATTCAGTTCAGAAAGTAGAGATGAAAAGGCGATGGTTTTTAGAATAAGTGAGTGGGCCAACAAGGAAGAAGAATTGAGAAAATGTACACAGCTCGCCCACGAAACCCGTGACGAAGGGTCAATTTGGACCTAAGCATTACGGCCAAGAGAAAAAGCAACGGGAGTCGGAAGAAGCACGCAAGCGACAAAAGCATTAGGGCGGAAAAGAGTAAATGGAAAGAAGGGGTCAAAAAGCCAACCCTCGACTGCCTAGGTAGGACATCTACTCCTTCTGATCTCATTTGTTTTTGGATACGCTTGCTAGCGACTAGTACGTGACCTAGCTACAGTTAGAAAAGTTCGCTGCAGTCGATTGAATCTGGAAGGACTACAAGTAACAGCATAGCTGGCAAAGAGCTGTTGCTGGGGCCTTCACAAAGAAACTCCCCGTCCGCTTTTTATACCGGAGAGGACAAGCTGGACTAAATTGGCGTTCAAAATTACTTGGTCATTCCAATTTTGAATGGTCCATTTCTAGAGTTAAAAGCGATTTCAATCAACTGAATAAGGCTTTGCCGCCCGACATCTCGCTAAATTTCGAACAAACATGTAGGCAGCTAAACAGAAGGCTGCTACATTACTCGACGCTTTCGCCTCCTCCCGGATTACATGTTTTGGAGCAGCTGGCGCTAGTGGTACACTACTCCTAAAATTCGCCCATAAGCGGGTGTCTCTGTGGTGCTAGTCCCAAGAACGTCCTCCTAACGCATATACCATTCACCGCTCATGAAATCCGTTTCTAATACCAACTAGTCATGCCGAAAGACCCATTCTTTCCAACTCTGCCGCCTGCACAATTGCGTGGGTCGTGTGAGTGTGTATGCGTGATGACGGCCATCCACACCACGGCATGGGGCCGTTTGTCACAGCCGGTCCTTGCGAGGATTGCCTCGGGGGAGTACGTCGCGATGACATCGTACGAAAAGTCCAGAGTGTCTTGTCCTCAATTTTGAGCAGAAAAACTCCTCTATGGGTGAGAACAGGAACTAAGACGATGGCTGATAAGGGCATCAGGCATCATTTTGTAGGAAGAGTATCAGCAAGCAGAGTTTCCTCTTCCAAGTTTTTTTTTTCACTGTACTTTTTTCAGGTGGTCACCCTCTCTCTGGACCAGATCCAACAAGTCCGACGAAAAAGGATGTCAAACACCGCTTCGAGATCACAAAAAAGTTAGGCTCCGGTACATACGGAAAGGTCTCGTTGGCGTTCGACCACAAATTCGACCGTGAAGTGAGTAAAAATCGGCCGATAATCACAATCGCTCTGACTTCGTTTTATCAGTTCCTAATTTCTTACCTTTTTGCATCTCCTTCGCTCTCCATGTGACAATAGACGCTATTCATCTCACTGCTGATTTATGTCGTCAACAATAAATCAAAGGTATAGGTAACGCATCCGCATTGATCAAGCCCCCTTTTGATCGCCACGCCTTCTACTTTCATCAAACAAATTATTTCTAATGACCTTTTCCGATCTGCAACAGTGACTTGGAGCTTAAGACATTGTCCAGATCGGTGGTTTGCTACTATATTTATCCGCTCCCAGGCAGGAATTGTATCAAGCTAGCCGATCCCTCAAAGAAGGAGAGCCTCGATCATTTTGGATGGGTGCACGATCTAGGACTGATCCCACACAATGCACAATTAGCCTATCATTATCATCTTACATCTAATTCAACTGTTGCATAATTGGACTTTATCGGCCGCACTTTGAACTATGAACGAAGGCAAAAAATTGATTGGTCAGACGAATAATGCGATTACCGTCAGAATCACATAACAGCTGGCCCAGTACTCGTTTCTTCATTGGTCTTCATGGTTTGCTTTTGGTAGGAAAAGTTGGGAACTTCGATGCTAGCTAGTTTGAGGATCACTGACCCGTTGAATACAACGCTGAATCTTCTATCGTTGCGAACCAAAACATAATAGCTTTGTTCGGATAGCCTGCAATTGCAGAGGGGAAAAAAGACAACGAGGGTTTTTTAAAAGACAACGAGGTAATGGAAGGGGCGCCGGGCGCGACTGCCGTTTCCAGGTTCAACAGTCTCCTAATATTTGGAATCCCTTCCTTTCACGTTGACAGGCTGAGGTTATCGAGCAAGAAGACGACTGTTTGGCGGTGGCCAATCAATCTCAGAGACACAAGCCATTCAACTTTTACCCCACTACTTTTACGATATTTGAACGGTTGGCACTAAAATTGATTTACTACTGTTGATCACAGCTCATGTTTTCCGTTCTCATTCACCAAAGTCACCGATCTGAGAAGATTTCATCCTTCTCGTGGACGCCAGAATGCGATTGGCGACTCTAGCCATTGCGCCATGTCGCTGTGTAGGTCATTTTATATACAGATTTAAGGTTCACGCTAAAACGCATAATATGGGCCATCTCCGTTGCCGTTCCCACCCCTTGCCCCTTCCCCCCCCTCCCGAACACGAGGCTGATTGACACAAAAATTGTTGCAATAATTGAATGCCGATAGTGAGCAACTGCCTAAGGCAGATACATAGTGGTGAACACCACGCTGTTGCTATCTTGCGTTAAACGAAGCAACCTTATGGAGCAACTTGACCCCAATTCGCCTTGCTGAACTGTGCACTTTTCACTTGCACTGGGTCGCAAAAAGTGAGAGATTAAGTAGAAGTCCTGGATGTTCCCGCTTGAAACTTCTTTGTGAGTGGCCTACAAGGAAGTCTGTGAGCGCTAATAAGGGCTTGATTGCTGAGAAGTGTGACTAACTACTGGAGCTATGTGTCGCCGATCGCTCAGTGGGGCCTCGAAGCGCTGCCCACTTGAACTCGTAGGGCTGTACGGCAATGCTGTTAACTATCGTTCGAGGTGGTGGTGGCGAACGAAAAACAACGCCGCCGGTCTTTCTGTTACAACGGCTGAGCTTTGCGGAGGACGGCCGCGATGGATTTATCGATCACACAGCCGGAAGGACAGGAGGAGAGCAAGGGACCAGCAAATTTGTTCCGGGTTAGGGCTTCTAAACGAGAGAGCGCCTTGGTACGGTAGATGCACTTTTTTGTTCGCCGCTCGTAAAGGCGATCGCACTTTCGACTTGTTTTAATTAACTTGCTATTTTAACGCCGCCGTTTTTGACTGCTTCGAACGCTGCGTAACTTGTAGCGCTTTACTCAGTCACTTAGAGGTACTGTCGAGCCCCCCTGCGTAAAGTTCAAGTTAATTTTTCATTCAGCATTCAATTCAGTAAAACAATCGTGCTCGGAAGAAGTAAAAATAGCCAGCATGAATCACCTCCACAACATTCGGTAGTACTGGTAGTACACAGCTGATTTGTCAGGAATGACTCCTAAAAATAAGGATGACTCAGAAATCGGCTTGGTCATCCCATAGAGACATTTTTTACACGTCTTCTCCAGAAGAACATTCTCTTGGAATGTTTTTCCAAACTCACTTGGGTTGATTGGAATGGAGGGCTACTACTCTCTACTCTCCACAATGAATGCTACACTTCATGTAATGAACGTTTCCGTAGCCTTCTTCGAAGCCTCAAAAGTCGAAACATTTCATCAAGCCATTCACTGATTACCATTTCAACTCACAAAAAAAAAGTATTGGACGATGCCATAAGAAGCCTTAGCCTATTTTGGGGCTTAGCTGCGCAATAATATGAAGCATTTGCTCAAACTGAAAACTATGTACCATTTCTAATATTGCCAGCATCTATAATCAGTCTTGCTGCAGTTTGCACCCTAGTAAATGGTTTGCACTTTCTCCATTCTACGTTCGCCCGGAAAACTGCTCTAGTTGTGTGCACTCGAACACACCAGCTGATGTCAGGACGGTCGCCGTCCCGTATATCGAATATCGGGCCTAAACAACTCTCCCAAGGAGCTAAATTAGCACCAAAGATGTACGGGAGGAACAGGATGATGAATTATGGGCAAACAAACCGCCAGACGGTTGAAATTATACGTCCGCTCACCCCACAGCACTGTCTCACCTTGAAGGCCCTACTCGGGATCGATTTGATTTGTTATCTTGTTGAAAAACTAGACAATAGCTGCAACGAGGAACACTGGTAAGGAGGAAAAGTAAAGAGGGCTATAGAACTCCAAAATTTCCCTTGTATGGTCGGCCTTTGTAGGAGTAGCCTTTGCGGAGAGAAACAGCGGTGCGAGGAGAGGGAAAACACGTGAAACAACGCCACCCGTACCGCTATTGATAAGGATGGCAGCACTGCAGCGAACGAGCACGGCCCTTAGCCGCCGCACGTTTTGAGTCGGGACAGTGTGCGACACGGCCAGTGCTTGAAGGAACCCTGCCTCCTCACTCAAGGTAGGTTCAGCTGCTCTTATCAATCTAAATCCCAATGAACTTGGAAACTTTCTGCTTCGACCTTTGAACTTTTAGTGGCATATTAAATCTACATAGCAACCATTGCTGTCAGCATTCACACACATAACCTGAGAGCACCGAGGGCAACCGCCCGCATCGGTAGGGTTTCGGATTCAAGTCGTGCTCAGGACAAAGTATTTTGCGAAGAACACTTGTGATGACTTATGCATCGCAAAATACGGCGAAAAAACAGCATTTCAAAACAAGACCAATAATCAATAAATTCACCCCTTAATTGGTCTGGAATTTCATGCTCACTGTGTCGTTAGGTTTACTGATATTCACTCCATCTTCATCCCCTTTCCCTCAGTGAGCGTCAGCATGAGACTTATTTATATTGTAACCTCATTTTTGGAGTTTCACTAGAAAGTATAATATGTTCAAAATAATGATGTTATACAGGTGGCAGTGAAGCTGATCAAGAAGAGCGCCATCGAAAACAAAGCCGATCTGGTACGAATACGTCGTGAGATCCGGATTATGTCCGCTCTTCATCACCCAAACATCATCCAGATCTTTGAGGGTAGGCCAGATTTTTCAGTGAACTGTGGCCCTGGCTACCATATGCCGCAGCTAAGAGGTACCAATTTCAGTGTTCGAGAATCGAGAAAAAATCATTCTGGTCATGGAATACGCAAGCGGCGGCGAACTTTACGACTATGTCTTCTCGTTTTGGGTCGTTGCCAGAGAGTGAAGCCAGGCGAATTTTCCGGCAAATCACCTCAGCCGTACTATACTGTCACAAGGTGAGCTGTCTCAAGACTTTCACCCAAGTCAACCGTCGCGTTGGACAAATTTCAAAAATTTTACGACTCCACCCCCTTCTGGAGAGCCACGAAACGACCTCCCCCCCAGCTCTTACTATAGTATAATTTGATTCTAAGACCAGCTGACCCAACTCTACCCACATTTCGAAATAGCTGTCGATAGGGGGGGCACATCAACAGTGAAACGGCAAATTTCTTCTGTTGGTACTCACAAAGTGTAAAGCGTCACGCTACGATCCCTCATTGGTGTAAAATTGACGCTGCTTGTGACCATGCAAATACGCCCCTCACCTTTTCGTCGGCCGAATACGACCCCCCCCCCCCCTCGTTGGACTTAATCCAACGGACGGTTGACCCTGCTTTCACCTAAAATGAATGCTGGATGATTCATGAACCTATTTACCGAGCCTTTCTGTCTATTAGAGTGTTGTGAAAGTGAATGTCCACCATTGGATCCATATAAATAAATATAAGTCAGTTTTCATGAATCTTAAAAATTCTGTTTCAGCATCAAGTGGCTCATAGGGATCTCAAATTAGAAAATATCCTGCTCGACCAGGATAATAACGCGAAGATCGCCGATTTCGGCCTCTCCAACTATTTTGGGACAAAGGTTCGTTCTCTTCCATGGTTTGAGTTCGCTCTGGAACCTTGTGCAATAACCCTATACCACCAATCCATATTTGCTGTATTTGCGACCGAGTTCTGTTCTCAGTTCCTACAGCCTATTTATTTTCCTTGAAGGCAGTTTTTGTGATAACGCGAAATGCAAATTATAAAGCCTCAGAAAGTGAAAAAATGGAGTGGTTACCAAAGTTCATTAGCAATGACAGACAGTGACAGGGCGAAGATCTAGAGAAGGCCCTTGTTTCAGCTCTTGATTAGCAGCGTGCACAAGTGCAGCACGACAGAACCGATTGCCACTCAGCTTTCTCTCTTGCATGTCGCGTTTCAACAATGCCATATGGCGGTGTACATTCTCTGTTCCAATGTCCTCTATTTTCCTTCAAAGAAACTATTCTTACTTTCGTAGGACTGGTTACGGTGCAGTCACCGGCTATTTTCAATGAATGAAGCTACCTGTTCTGAAAAGACCCATGGAGCATTTATTTCTTGGAGAGCGTCTGCAGCTGCAGTATGATTAACTTAGTCTTGTTTCAGATGGAGCTCGTCGATCTGTCTTTTAGTCAAGATAGCGCTTTTGAAGACAGGGCCCTTGTTATTATGATATTATTCTTCTGCCAACGTGGTTGTTAGGTGGAGAATTTTTAGTGGACCTGACGTTTTGACGAGATCATCTTCCTTGGCAGAAAGAATAATATCTTCTGAAGGTGCCGTTCACGACGGATGTGAACCAGCTTCTCCAATGCTCTCCCTTTGCACTGAATCAGCACCTAATCGCTCATCACTCTTGAAATTCCTCTGAGTTTCCATGCCAATCGCGACCGAAAAAGATCAGGATAATTAAAGGAATCCTTCACAGAAAAATCATAATTCCATTTTAAGCCATAAATCACTGGCTTGAGACTCATCATCCACGATAAGAATGAAAAGAACAGAAAAAATTGCATTTGTTGGTAAAAAATTCGAAAAATCGAAAGGGCTGCTACGCGTTCAAAGACCGCCGGACATCTTTCACAAATGCTGGCGACGGGGATGCTTCCACTTGGTTCTTGGAGTGCCTTCACTAGAAACTCTTTCTGGCCTTTTGACATTGCTTCATTCACATCTCACACTTCTACTCCATTGCTATTCCCTGATACGTAGCCGCCCCAAGGCGGACTTCTTTCCATGCCCCGCCTTTGGCTCCGCCCCTTTTACCTTCGATTGTCCATAGAGTGTAGTTTTTGTAAGTTTGTTTCTCTTCGGAAACCGAATCTTCATGCGTGAAACTTTGTGTGCTGTTTCCAGTGATCACAACTGATACATTCATGTTGAGAAAGAATGCAAGAATTTTGCGCGAAGGATTCCTTTAAGCAATACTGAGGCCTGGATATGTGTAGCTCATACTCAGTTTTCCTCTCTCTTTTCCTTGAGCACACCGCAATGTTTCTTCACCGTGATAACTTCCACAGCTGCCTAATTGGCTCAGGTTTTCATCTTCGAATCTCCTTTTGACGAAATACATTTCAGTCCCTTCTTACCACTTTTTGCGGCAGTCCACTCTACGCCTCTCCAGAGATCATCAATGGCACCCCTTATAAACGCCCTGAGGTAAGTTCTAGCTCCAATATATGTCAGTTTTTTCGGTCACTACATTATTTAAGGTCGATTGTTGGTCGCTGGGTATTCTTCTCTACACCCTCGTCTACGGTTCCATGCCATTTGATGGACGTGATTTCAATCGAATGGTTCGACAAATCAAGCGCGGTGCCTACTACGAGCCGGATACACCATCAAGTTAGCCCTTAGCTTCGTAACTAAAGTTTGTAAACTCTGAGCAAGGCGACTTGGAAACCTTAGCTTTTTGAAAAATAGAGCCAAAAATTATAACAGCTCTGTTGGCCAATATTTGTTACACATTGGCAAAGAGCACAATAACGCCCTACCTGCTTTTCGAAAAGTATATATCAGGATCAAAATGGAGAGGATTTCTTTTCCTTTTCTGAACATTACGTAGGTGGAGCTGTTCGGGATCCGAACGCATAGGAAGCCCTAAAAACTCAACACGCATCAACTTTACCCTGCCTTCGCAATGGAAGTCCTCCTAGTCATGCAAGTCACCATCCCACTGTCGAGCAGCCCTCGATGGACGCTTGACCCTGCTCCAAATCTCTCGGCTAGTTAGAGTATGGCATTGATGGATCGTTCCAAAGCCGTTTTCAAATCTGAATTTCGTCGAGTTTTGAAAGTGTTGTATCTTTGCATCTATGGTAAGGGGACCAATAATTGAGAACTAATGGGTTACTCTAAACAATGCTGTTTACCCGAACGCAGCCCCAGCCGATAATGATACATGTGTAACTTATCAAAATTAAACGCTTTTAGACCACGTCCGGAACAGACCAGAAAATTCAGACTGTATTCCCAAGGATCCTCTCGTGACTAAAGAAGAACAAGTGTACAACCAAGTCTTAAAGCTTCAATTGTGAAATCTCGCACACTCTGTTTCAGCAGCGTCGATGCTGATTCGCAATATGCTGCGAGTGAATCCGGAACGCCGTGCTGACATTTTCGACATCGCCAGCCACTGGTGGTTGAATCTCGAGGAGAATATGCCTGTTATTCAGGAATTGCCAGAGAACCAGGGTGCTTTCATGCTACACAATGTCGGATGAATGAATGAAGCAGCATGTCCACGATGACATATCTCGGTAAATAAATGCTTTGCAGATAACCGACCACACCCCACTGACGGAAAGAGCGGAGACAATGATCGTTCAGGTTTGTGCTGTTGAGCTTATGAAAAGATCGATTGCTCCGATGAAATAGTTCATTCAGATTATAATAATAATTAACGATTTGGACTGTTGCTGGGGCCAAGGGGGTCTGCTAAAAGCAGGCTAACGTCTCAGTAGTGGGTTTTGAGTCAAACTTCAAGTTTGTAGTGAGCAAGTATATTGGTAGTTGATGAATTAAGGGAATAGGCGAGTGACAATTAGTCAATGCGATTTGGCATTGGTGAACCAACCGACGTAGGGTATAGGAAAGCATACGTATCAATTTGGTTAAGTCCGTCCTTTGGGTATTTCACGCAATCGTCTAATCGGGGTACCCAACACGGGGCCCCTCGCTCGGCGAGAAGGCAGATCGGTCAGCGACGAGTTGTGGCGCGTATTGTGCGATGTTAGATGCACTATGGCACCTTCGTTGACTTGGGCTATAATCGCTAACAGGTACACACTGCGACCTCAGCAAACTAGCCTGTCTGCGTCTCTGCCCTCCCCCACCACCGGCCCTCCCTGTCGAGCACCCCTCTGACGCAATCGACGGGCCTCCTGTCGGGTACCCGTCTAATCACCTCGCCTATTCACATAATCAATACGTATAATTTTCTTCTCGGCCAATCGCCCTCAGTCATGAACTCTGAGCAATACCTTATGCTTTAGGATTTGGCTGATGAGACGGATGTCTTCATGGAGTTTGGTCACCTCAGCAATGAAACACGAAAGAAGATTGAAGAATTCCGGCGACGCCGAAAGCAGGCTGAGGAATACAACGAGAACTCTCCTGTCAAGCCACCGAAGGTAGAAACCCTGAATGTTATTTTCTCGACGGCTTATAACGTATTCGAAAGAAAAAGAAAAAAAAAGCACTGCAGACGGCACGAAAGGATGGTGAACAAGTGGCTGAAATGAAGAGCGAGGACAAGAGCTTGAGAGGATTAAAGGAGCCAGCTAAGGTGATGGCCCAAGGGAATCCTCCCTTATTGCTCTTGATTAATCAAATCAAAATTCAGGAGAAAGATAGCGACGACCCATTGGAACGATTACGGCAGATTGAAAATCGTCTCGGGCAGCAGCGGAAAAAGAACACACTCAGTAATGTGCCGCAAACAGTAAGTGACCGCTTTATTGCTTTCAGTTCAGAATACCACAGAAAGTGAACATTCGCAAACAAGGAACTGTTCGAGCACTTAACCTTACTTCTTCTTGTTCGCGATTTCGTACTTCTTGGAACTGCGGCATTGTTGGATGCATTTGAGTGACTCGTCTTTCTGCTGATAAGACGAATAGTCAGGATGATCTGCGACCATTTTGACGAAATCCTCCGCGCATCGTTCGGCACAGGATCTGAATTCTCCATTGACGGTTGGCAGAGCGCAGCATTCGGAGGACCTCAATTAAAAAAAGCGAGCATTGTCACTTTCGCACGGTTAGAGAAAGAAGAAAATATCGTATTTTTCTATTTTCTATTTATGTGGGAAGCGTGGGCCCGAGATATCACTTTGGCAGTTGTGCGAATTTTCAAGGCATGCTCCAGAAATCTCGCATTGATTCGAAAATCTTCATTCAGGGTTAACTAACCCATGGAGACAAGAAAAACTGAGTTTTGATGAGAGGAATTAGGTTGTTCAAAAATCAAATAAGGTTGGAGATCCTTTGAGCTTCATTATTTCATAAAACTCCTCTGTGTTTTTATTGAAATGAAGCTCCTACAAAAACTTTATTCGCGGACGTGTCGAACCGTAAGCTCCTCTTGAAGCCTATGAAAGCATCCGCGCGTTACGTGCTACAAACCTGTAAAAGGCTCACGGCCCGAAACGTGAAATAATTAAAATATCGTCAAATAAAATTCTTCGGAGGAGCTCCATTTCACTACAAAGAAATATTGAAAAGAACGTTGAATAACCTTTGATCCTCTAAGTTTACCGCATTTAAATTTGGCTGCGATTCAAATTGACGTCAAATTCATGGGAAGTCTTCAAGGGATCTATGTTCTAAGGTGTTAAAAAAGTAGTGTGGAAGTTCACGCGTGTTAAGGGAGTCTCTATATAGACTTGACCTATTTTATGTGAAAGTGTCATTGAATTACGTTTTGAGATAACTTCGTTCTAGGCTTTTTGTTTCATATTCTACTTTGCTCCATTTTTCGTGAGAAAAGGTACGGTTTATTTTTGTGGTATTCTTTATCCTTCCCAATTATTTCTACTCGCTGAGTCGGCAATTGTTCATAACACTTCGAAAGAAATTCAAAAATGAACCATGAATTGAGCCATTCACGGAACACTACAAAGGGAACACCAGGAAGCGCGGGGACCATGGCAGCATGGGGCAGAAGTTTGAGGGTGCTCCGTCGTGGCAATAAAGTAAATGAGAAATTCCCCCAACGCGACTGCTAAACGGCCATTCTGGTGACAGTTACGGGATGTCCTCCGGGGTTGTGGTACTAAACGCGTCACGCGCTGCACTCTTGAACTCTCTCTAAAGATTCCAAGTGTCGAGCGCTCGTTTAGTGGCTTCAACCATCAAGTTCAATTGGACGTCTAGAACAAACTGCGTCGGCGAGCCCAAGTTGTTGTGGAACCATTTTGAGCGGTCTTTCGAGTCGTGTGTTTTTCATACACGCTCATAAAATTTCTAGCCAGTCGAGATGCATTTGCGCCCCGATTACGCTGCTCTATACGGAGAAATCTACTATACCCCATCGCTAACCCATGGAAGTCGGTTCAAATGAGCCACTCACCAAGGGTTTCGGAGCCGCTTCAAGAACGGCCATCAAAATGGCTGCCACCCAAAGCGCCACGAATGCGTGCAAATTCATGCAGCTCCTTCCGTCGCCTGTAGGAAAAT